TTCTTCGATATAACGGTCGGAGAAGTGTCGCTGGTTGAATGAATATGTTCATGATATCGGAGAGCCAATCCGGAATAATGACGGCTGAATCTGGGCGTGCCCCTGTACGTTTGCCAGGTCCCCCTGTCGATTCAATGCCGTCGGAGATCGTGTGGATGCAATATATGTCGAACCAAACGTCATGAAGCCGTCGGCCGTAGACTAGCATGCTGGATTGAGGGCTCGTCGAATCTTCGGACCAACTGCGGAGGAATATGAGAACGCGCGGTGGCAGTGAGGAGAACAACACGCTCACTCGACGGTAATGCCGACTCAGGAACGAGTATGGATAGGGGGGCGTGCTGGCCATGTATGGTACTCGCCGTCGTGCTCGCTTGGCACTGAGCTCCGAATAATTGCCGAGCTGCGGTCAAGCTAGGTGTATGCGATATGGATTTTGATGCGTTTTGGGCCAGACATGGCGAGGGCCTGGGTTGGCCGTTGGGACCGGTTGAGAGTACAACCGACGAGCTAGACCGCGTAGATGGGTACACTCGCGATCCACTGCGAGTGTCAGGGGTGCGGGTGAGCCGATCTGTGACTTCTTCGGCAATAATAAGTTGATCATCGAGGTGGAGAAATGTCTGATTGCCCTGTGCCGGAGTGAACCGCGTGGTGTTAGCGCTGGAGTATATGCTAGGCTCTAGGACGCCGGGAGCGTCGCCATCAATGAATTTGTTGGGATCTACGGTGGCATTCGAAGGTGTCTCAGACCTGGGACGCAGCGACGAGACATCAGGTGGCTGATCCGTAGCTAGGACACCCGCCACCTGACCGCGAGTAGTTACGAAAGCATAGGTACCGGACACATTGGGATGTTTTACAGTTAGATTTGGCGAGTAGCGAAGAGGCACCACGGCTTGGTAGATTCGCGAGATCATCGGAAGACACGAGGCCAGGAACAGAACATGGTGCTGCCTTGCTTGGTTAGCCTGGAGAGATGCGCATGCGACCCTCACCGACTACTTCCCGCCGCAGACCCCAAGAACCGCTCCGTAGGCTGGAGAGTGGTGCATACAACGCTCGTATATGCTGGGAAACGCGAGACAAAACGTAGCGAAATAGATGGGTGAACAAATAGCCGCCGCGTTTCCCCATGGGGGAAGGGCGCCTCCGCAGCTGAGGCCACGGGGCTCCGTGATGGCCAAACAGTGGGTGAGAGGGGTGACCGGGGGACCTTGCCGCCCGGAGAAACCGCCCAAATGGAGATGCGTTCTTGAGAGGGTCTCCAGACGGTCGACATTTTACCGAGTGTGTCTGTCGACTATAAGATGTGGGGCTCCGGTGCGTCTTCTCCTCACCCCGCTCTCGGCTCTTCTCCTCCACCACAGAGCAATGGCAGGACCAGCAGCAGTCACCGTGTCCGACGGCCCAGCAGCCCACCTCCTCTACCAAGGTATGTCGCTCGTCACCCATCTCGTCTATGTTGTCTAACAGCGTTGTAGGCAAATGGTGGAACCATGGAGGCATTCTGGCACTCAACATGATGTTGGTGTTCATTCTGCTCACGTCGAGCACCAACGGTTTCGATGGTTCCATGATGAGTGAGTCCAAGCCGCCGGCTGAACAAATTCAGCTCACTAACCATGACACAGACGGTCTCCAGGCTGTCCCTTCCTGGGTTTCTTACTTTGGCGAACCTCAGGGCGCGACTCTTGGCTTGTACAATGCCATTCAGAACATCGGCTCTCTTGCCGCCATCCCCTTTGCGCCCTTCATCTCTGACAGATTTGGTCGCCGCGTCGGTATCATTGTCGGCTGCACTGTCATGTTCCTCGCTACTGGTCTTCAGTCGGGTGCCCAAAACAACGGCATGTTCATTGCCGGTCGTGGTCTCAGTAAGTCTTCTTTCGATCAAGCACAAGTGTGGCGCTAACTTGCACCCAGTCGGCTTTGGTGTCTCCTTTGCTCACCTTGCCTCTGCTCTGCTCATCGTCGAGCTCTCTTACCCGAGCCAGCGTGCCAAGCTCACTTCGCTCTACAACACCATGTGGTTCACCGGTGCGATCATTGCCGCCGCCACCACTCTTGGTACTTTCCGTATCAACGGTGGTGCTTCGTGGCGCATCCCTTCGGCTATGATGGCTATCGTTCCTGTCCTCCAGATGATCGTCGTTTGGGTTAGCAACATCTGCGTTTTACCTCGGTCCGCTCATCTAACTTTATTTCTAGTTCTTGCCCGAGTCCCCCCGTTGGCTCATGGCCAAGGGCCGTGAGGAGGAGGCCGTCCGCGTTCTTGCCAAGTACCACGCTCTCCGCCGCGGTGATGAGAACGACGAGCTCGTCCAGTTCGAGCGCGAGGAAATCAAGGAGGCTCTCCGGATTGAGCTCGAGGCTTCGTCCAGCTCCAGCTACTTCTCTCTCTTGGCCACTCCCGGAAACCGTCGCCGTCTCCGCATTATTGTTGCCATCGCCTTCTTCTCCCAGTGGTCCGGTAACGGTATTGCTTCGTACTACCTCAATGTTGTCCTCGAGCAGATCGGCATCGGTGTCACTGACAAGGCCCAGGTTCAATACTTCAACTTGGGTCTTGCGGTCTACAACTGTGAGTCACTTTTATGATTAGGCATTTCAGTCTTCTGAACAGTTGGATAGTCCTTATTGCCATCACCGCCGCCATTTACGTCGAGAAGATCGGTCGTCGCAAGCTCTTCTTGATCTCCAACGCTGGCATGCTCTTCGCCTACATTCTCTGGACCATCGGTGCTGGTGTCAACGCCAACAACCCAAGCAACCGCTCTGCTGCCAACCTCGTCATGGCCGCCGTGTTCATCTTCAACGGTTTCTACGACATCGCCTACACTCCTCTCCTCGTCTCTTACACCGTCGAGATCACCCCTTACCGTATCCGCGCCAAGATGTTCGCCGTCATGAACGTCTGCGTCACGGCTTCGCTCGTCTTCAACCAGTATGTCAATCCGATCGCCCTCAAGGCCCTCAAGTGGAAGTACTACATCGTCTACGTCGCATGGCTCGTGTTCGAGCTCGGCTTCATCTACCTCTACGCTGTCGAGACCAAGGGTCGCTCGCTCGAGGAGACCGCCGCGTTGTTCGATGGTGAGGAGGCGCTCAAGGAGCTCGAGAACCGTGTCGCCCACGACGCCGCCCCTGGCACTCCTTCCGATGAGAAGTTGGACGGAAAGCACGAAGAGATCCACCGTGCGTAAATCTGTACAATCTTTAACGGATTCTCTTGTGTATGAGGTGTTTGTGAGATAGTTTCTTTGGAGTGGTATGTTTTGTCTGATTTGTTTGTCTTTTGGATAAGGATATGGTCAATATATCACATTCGTGTTTCTTTTTTGTGTGAATTGGGAATTCTTGGCTGATTTACGAAGAGGTGCTCATAGCTTTGCGTCATGGCGTGGCGCATTTCGTTCTTGACTCCGACGTCATTGTTCTGCTCATAATTTAGATAGGGGGCAAGGTTATAAATGGAGCGTTTTGGAGCTGGGGGACACTTGTATCCCCTCTCTCGCGAGTCGAACTTGGGATACATCATGGGGTTCGTCCAATATATTTTTGCACGACAAGTTGACTTATTCTATATTAGGTGCATATGCTCCTGTGTCTCTGGTATTATAAGTTGCATCGGCGGATTGATCAACGATTGCATCGGATGTATTGCTGGATGTATTGAGGCCATCGTTGCAGGTAACTTTATTCATTTGCATCTGCGTTTCAGCCTATCCTGAGTTTGGTTGATCAGCAATTACACATTGCGTTACTGGCATCTGCGACTGTATCACGGCTTGCTTGTGTTGCGGGTGAGTATGAAATGCCAGTACAACGCTTAAAGTTTACTGAAATCTGCCCGACGACGCTATAGGAGACCAGGAAGTAGAAGCTAACACGTGTCGAGAGGCAAAGAGGCCAAGTGGATCCTTGCACAGTATAACGCGATCGATACCCGATATTATTCCTTAATATAAACCACGATTTTATTTTGAGCGAGCCCCAAGGGTTATCGAAGCCCACCACACGCCCGTACGCCATGTGACAACCTCGCGTCCATGAACCTTGGGTAAACTCTGATCCGACATCAAGCCCGTGGACATACACCACGGACTTGTCATGATGGGCTGAACTTGTTATCGCACGCCCTCTTTCTTGAAGATCTCCTCCAAGACCTTGACGACCTTGTTATGACCCTCGCCTCCGTATGACCACCAGTCGAGCTCTTCCTTGCCTAATCCATCGAGTACATACGAAGCGACGTCCGCATCCTTGTGAGCCGGCCTACCAATCCCCAGTCGGATCCGATGGAACTCGTCGTTTGTGGGCCGAGGAGATGGGAACTGAGAGGCAATGGAACCGAGCGAAGATATTACGCTTCGTACGCCATTGTGGCCGTTTGCCGAGCCCCCTAATTTCGGGGACACGGCGAGAGGGGTGTGTGATAGGGAGTCTTGAAGGATGATCAGCCTGCGAGGCGATCGTATTTCGCTGGGGAACGTTCGTAGAACAGAGGTGATTGCAGGGCCAGAGATGTTCATAAGGAGCTCTGAGGAAGAAATATTTGATAAATCAAATGGGTGGCAGCGAAGCTCGCGAGTGGCAAAAACGTACTTGGTTTTACGAGTGTTAGGTCTACTTCTTTACCATACGAGGTTTCTACATTCTTACGTCCTATCCAGGCTTTGTGTCCTTTGTCTTCTTTAAAATTTATGTTCCATCTCGCCGCCAGAGACTCTAGTATCAGTTGCCCAACACTGGGCCGGAAGAATTAATCGAGAGCAGGCCAAGTCAAGACTGAGTCGAACCTATGTCTAGTATTTGGGTGGGTAAAGTTTCCTAGCCCGGCAACTAAGAAGCGGTTCATACCCTAGGGTCAATCCCAGGTGTGGTGAGCGACGAGTGAGAAGATACTGGCAAAACGTTTCCGAGCAACCGAGGTGTCTACGGTGAGTCATTTTGATGTATGGTACCGATATTTTTGCCACGCGTAGACCAATGTTTAAGGGCGCTTAGTGGAGTGGTTACCACGTTGGTCTTCGACGCACCTCTTATGAGGTTGATTCGTCAACCAAAGTTCGTCGGTTCGATCCCGGCAGTGCTCATTAACGTTTTGCAATTGGATGCTTGAGGGAGAGTTCGGGGAATGCTCTCATCTCGATCTCCTGCAGGGCCGTGGTCGATGAAGAAATGCCTGGACCCCGGGACACAGCCTGCATGTAGTATGATATTCTTGGATATTGGAACTGAAATAGAAATAAATCATACGTCGCTGAGAACGATTCAGAACGTAGATAACTTCGAGGTCTAGAAGAGTGAGACCAGCCACACCCATTCGTAATTACATGGACAAATAACACCTAAAAACTATCCCTATTAAGTGTCCGTATCATCCTCCAAGTCGGTAAGATCAGAGTCCGAGTCCATAGGTCCAGAAACATTCGTTGAAGTAATACCTGTATCTTCCAGACGCACATCGTCCCCCCTTAGTGAATGGGATTCTAATTTGACTTCAGGATGCTCGTGAAATGCGTCCAGTGAAGCAGAACCAGGGCCAGGGTATGCGTCCACTCTTGCGTCCTCCGCAGGAGCTGAAATAACACGGCCCTCTTGTTGGTTACCCTCTACATTTTTGGCTGCCTTGTCGTCAGTCTTTATATGGTACTCCACCACCTTGAGGTATATCGCATCCTCGAGGTATGGGTCTTGGTCTCCCTCGACTCTAGTTCTTCCATGGCAAGAGGCTGCGTGTTTCCACCTAGACATAATATTTAGTTTGTTCTTCTTATGCGGAGTTAATATGCATACCAGAACAGTTCTGGGACCTTGAGGATTAGATTAGCCCGGATATCGATACGATATACCAGTCTACGCACCAATGCATCCAGATGTTTGACGCTGTCGACAGGAACCCATTTCTTGCATGAATGGCACTTGCCCTCCTCGATCTCAGTTTTCTCCTGTGGATTTGCGGCTTTGCGGGAGCCAAGTCGGAAAGCGGTTGGTGGAGAGAATGGCAAGCCTGTCTGGGCGCAAATTCCTGCATACTTTGCGATTATCATCTTACAAACATTGGCTGATTTGGCTTCGTACCATGGTAATACTGCATATGATAATCTGATCTCCAGTCAACTGATGCTTGCTAAAGCAAAGCTAAATAAGACTTACTATAGGCAGAGATCTGCCCAAAAATACAATCAGCAGCCGCTCAATACATTCAATCACTAGTGGGAGTTACCTTGGTGTTCAAAAGAACGGCTTTCCCCTCTCCGCCTCGCCACAAAGGCTCTATGCATATCGTACACAATCCAAATTTCTCGTGACTCTTCCCACGAACGAAGCGTGGGGTGTAAAGGTTGAGATGCTGGGCTCGATTCGGCGTCAAACGTGGGCCAGCCGGATGGGGCTGCATGTCTACACTCTTTGGAGCACTAAAATGTAGAGTGTGTTCTTAGTCCCCGAATATTTGCAGATAAGTTTTGAGGCTCACCCATCGCCTAATACAAATGCCTTGGCCGGGTCGTTTTCTTGGAAATAGGCTGGTACCGGAAAGCGACGATACCACTTGGCGTATTTCTCGTTGATCGGAAAGCTCTTGGGGAATCTGCGTCGAGTGATGCTTCCGTCTGCTCTGAATATGATAGATTTGCTGGGGCGAGGGAGTAGTTCGGAGGGGCTTATACGCTTCGCCGCTGAAGCTGTCGACCCTGTGTGAGGTCAGCTACGAGGGTGGAAGGTTTGGTCGAGTTCCTTACTTGATGAACCCTCGGCCTTCGTGATGGAGCCCTCCTCGACCTCGTTCTCCAGAATATTGACATCTCCCTCTGGCAGACCAAGACATTCTTCGAAAGCTTTGTCCTCAGATTTGAAGCCTGCTTTACTTCGAGGTCGCCCGGCGGCCTTTCCTTTTACCGACCTGCCAGCACTTCTCCGATTACTACGAGCCCGAGGAGCCATGATAGATGGCTCGTGTCTAGAAGAGGCAACGTTCGAGTCGGCTGTCATCAACTCGACCATAGCGCGCGTCCGGGATCGCGTTGGACGGTCAATGATGATGTCTAGTAGTGGCACCTTCTACAAAGTAAAAAAGATTGGAGGAGGGCCGCATCATTTATCGGCGAACGACTTACGGGCTCGGGCTCGATCGTACGCGATTCGACTTGAGCAATGGCCTCGACTTTAGACTCATTTGACATAACCTTAGTCCGTTTTCCGCTCTGTAGATTTTGAGCATCCTCGCGAAACACACCTTTGCTTTGTCTTGGGCGTAGATCAAGCTCGGCGAGATCCTGCTCGCCGTGCGATGCATGTTCTGTCACGGCCGATATAAATAAAAGATAGCAAGTTGAAAACTAACAGTCCACACCTTTGGATTCAGATTGGGTCTTTGAAGTTTCTTCATGACACATATCCTGCACACCGTGTTCCATCGAATTTTGAATGGTGCTCGGTATGCTGACAGGAGAGGGAGCAGGGAATCGTAGGATCGGCCTACGTTGAGTTCTGAGGGTAAAAGGCGAGTCTGAAATCTCAGCTGGATCGAGCAGGCTAGTGTTTGCAGGCGTGGCAAGAGTATCGATTGTAGAAGGTGTAGCCGCATAGTGTACGAGAGAGGGTGTCATAAGCGGAAAGGTCCCTGCTGGAGTGGGGAACATGAATTGAGAGGAGGAGATAGGACTCGAGAGAGGAGCTGGAGGCACAGTAGACGACGCGCATACATTCTGCACAAGACTAGCATGTGACGGGGTGTGCATCAAGGAAGGAGACCAGATATATTCTACAGGAGCATCAGACGAGGGCGAGGCTCCTGGTTCCAAAGATGGCTGGTCGAAAAGGTGTGCGTCCGAAGGGAAGTTGTATTTGCTTTTGCGTCCTCGAGTCGCGGCTTTCCCCTTGACGCGCGACGGCTTGGCAACTCCGTTCGCGGTATTGAAACCGGGCCGATATTGAACTCGTTTATGCGCAAGACGGGAAGATCGGGGTACGTAGCCTGGTTCAAATTTGGGGAGTGCATAGCTCGAGGTGCTTGTACCCTCTAGTTGCGCAAGAGTACCCGTTGTAACAGGGCTTTTACCAGAGTCGTGCGAGCTAGGACGTACAAAGAAGGGATCATCATCGAAGGGTGACGAAGTGTATGGAATTGGCGATGACGGAGGAAGTGGTCCGATCTGGGATGGAAAACCCGGTGATGAATAGCCGTAATATGACAATGTATGCGCACTAGCTGATAGATTTGCGGCAAATAGAGGTGGACTCGCGGGCGCTGGAAAAATCGGCGATGAAATATCGACGATAGATGAGACGGGTGCTGCCGGAGTAGATGGTGGTACAGATGGGCGACTAGGAGAATGATGGTGCATGGGCTCAGACGCTGGACTGGCCAGTTGGCAGCGTTTGTCGAGCTCATTGGTGTCAGGCTCGGGGGCATAGAAGAAAAAATTAATTGGAGGTAAACTCGGCGACCGAACGATCACAGAGCGAGACGGAGAAGAAGCTGGAAAGCGTGCTAGATCGTCTGAAAGAAATGACGCGTAGGACTTGCGATTAACCAGAGATGAGCTCATGCAATCACATCGAATAAAAAAATACAATCTAACCTGAAAGCTAGTACCACGACGCAAGGTTCTTGAAGCGTGTGGAGTAAACGGACCAGGAGGAACAAGTTGGGTGATCCCTGCACGTCGCACGGGCGAGACATCCAGATTCAACGCGCTTTCCACGTCATTGATCGGCTGGGACACACTACTGTCGCTTGAGATCCCACGAAAGAGTGAGACAGAAACATCAGGCGACCAGCCTACGCCGCGAGCTGGTGACGAGAACGGATCAAGACGCGTCGGAGGGGTGCTGGGTACCTCCATCGAGGATGAGCGCAGGAGAAAGCAACGGCGCCTCTCGGTTTAAAAGTGTCCGATTCAGAGTCAACCTTCGAAGTCGGATTGACGGTGCGCACGGACCGTGTTCTGTTTTGGGCGCAAGTTCTACTCTTCCAGGATGAGGCTGGTGAATAAGCGCCACTTTGGGAGGTGGCGTCGATCCTTCACCTCGGGCCGAGACATTTTGCATATGAGCAGGACAAGCAAAGCTCATGGACCATTGGCATAGCATCCCAAGGTGCTAGTGGAGCTAGTAGAGAGATATTACTCCATAGGGTACCCTGGGGTGATGGACCAACGGTTGCCAACATTGTAATCTTGTATCCAGACAGTGCTCATTAATTTAGAGGGATCGAATTCGCCGCAGTACAACCATTGCGCAATGGACAAGTGCTGAATAGGATAGCTTGGGCGAGATGTAGGGAACGATATCCAAGTCATAGTTGTGCGAAAGAGTGAGTTAAACTTTCCAAGCGTGCCGGATAAGGCAATGGTGGCGGTGCAGCTACTACCCTGAGCGCTCAGATATCTCACGTGATGTGTGTGGTGATGTTTGGATTGTGTTTCACGCGGCGCCACACGCACGGGTTGAAGAACGCAACCACGACGTTGCTGCATACAGCGCGCACGCTCGTTCCCGCGCACGACTCGACTGCTCTCGCACTTTTCGATGGCATTGCGAGCACGATACGGCCCCGGCAATCGCGCCTGGAGCTACCAGCGCCCGGCGGACGACACCACAAACGGCCCGCCGCTCCAGCCATCTGCCTTTGGCCTTGCGCTGTCTGCAGAGGAGCATACCCCGGCCCCTGAAGCTCCGCCCGAGCAGCTCACGCCCGCCACAACCGCCGTCGATGCCGTCCGTGCTGCCAGTGGCGCTGCCAAGGCGCGCACTCGGTCCGACGCCAGCGCTTCGACGGCCGCTGCCCGCGCAGCACGAGCTGCAAAGGCAACTGCCGCTCGCATGGCTCGGGCGTCGACAGGGAGTGCCCCCGTAGCGCCTACGTCGACCGATGCAGACCAGGCACCGCGCCGGCGGTCGGGGCGCGTTCCCGCCACGACGGCCAAAGCACGTGCGCCGTCGCCCACGCATACACCGGGCTCGCAGCGCACCGCAAAGCGCAAGCGATCGACCCTCGTCCCCGACGTGCTGGGCGAGCTTGGTGCCGAATCGGAGTTGGCGCCCGCGTCGTTCCCGTCCGGCGCCTTGGTCCCGTTCGACCAAGGCA